CTAAAGGGATAAAGGCAAATCTTAAGTGTTGCGGATGCGTATTGACTATAGGTATGATGATCTGACAGAACACCAGAAAAACCCAAAAGTCATTTCAGTTTAATGAGTTTGGCTGTGCTCTAAAAACAGGATCACTGAGAGGGTTAATGAAATTTAAGGTTAACTTTCAAGAAGGGCTTAGATTCATGATTAATTAATCATTAGTGATTAATTAGCAACAAATTTAACACGTTTTCAGTGCTGGCTAATCCACAAGAGGGCGCTGCTGTTTATTCTAAAGAGCAGTCAGATTATTTGATAGATGTCAGAGGAACAGCACAGATGATCCAAACAGAATCTGCTGTGGGATTATTTTACACTAATTTATGAAAAAACGGATGCAGAAAGTGGCTCTTTGTGTAAATACTAAAACTCATTAAGCTCCTTGTGCTCATTTGACTAAAAGCTAACCTCTGCTTCAGTGTTTGAAGTGAAATCCAAGCTCAGATGTTTTTCTTCATTGTGATAAATATGTTCTAATCATCAACAAAGGTTGTATTGAAGTCTTAAATGTTTGCTCATGATTCCAGGATTTTGTGCCCAGCGGCGTAAGCGGCTCACCTGGTAGAGATGCGGCTGAAAACGGCGTTGAAGTTGTTGCAGCTCAAAGAGAAGAGGACAGCCGAGGCCGAGGAGCGCAGCTCGGCAGCGTGCTGGTGACCCTCGCGGTAGGTGTGGATGAAATGGCAGATCTCCGGCAGCAGCTGCTTCACCAACATGGTCTCATCCAGACGCAGGCAGTCTTTAGATTGCTGAGGAAGCAGGGGGAGAAGAAGAGCCATGACATATTCTCACGGTCCAGACAGCACTCCATGGAGAGGAATGATGCTAAACCACGTCTGGGCCGTTGGGCATTTAGGCATACAGTTAAACCTCGTCACACAGAGCTAACTCTGAAGCTTTGTGTGAAGATGAGGACTGTGATCTAGAATAAACTAGATGAACCACTGATCAGAATCAGAATGAGATGTATTGCCTAGTAGGAGGATTTTGTCTCAGTGATGAGGTGCAACACACTGAGCAGCAAACATTCAGATAAAGGTATTGTTGAGGATTTTTGTGAATAAAAAAAAAATAAAAAATGTGCGCACAG